TTTTTTTTTTTTTTCTCACTTCGTAGACTAGATTAGGCATCGGGAAAAACTAAGGTGAAATCAGAGAGAAGATAACTGTATAGAGAAGAAGACTGAAGAAGGTGTTATAAAAAAAAAAAAAAAAAAAAGACAAGAAAAGATAAGAAAAGAAGAAATGACGAATACAGAAGAAGGTTAACCCCGCAAAAATACTAATTATAAAAATATTTGTAGCTGATGTAAATCTGTCGACAACCACTTTTTTGATTGTTGTTGTTGTTGTTGTTGTTGCTCTGTGTTTGAGCTGTTAGTGAATTGTAATTTGTAGTACAAATTTGCTAAGATTTTCCATTCTAAATTGTAATAAAATTGATCAAACAACTGTTTTTTTTTTTTTTCTTCTTCTTTTCATAGTTGTGAAACTATTGTTATTTTTTTTTGAAATCAGTACATAAGGCAGTTATAATTTTTTTTAAGATGGATATACAAAACAGATTGATGATGTATCATTTCTGGAAAATTTTAGTGTTCATAAACCATTTACAAACGCCTAATTTCGTTTTTGCATGTAAAACAACTAGCAACTAGCAAAGGTGCACATGTTTAATGTAAGAAAAAAACCGGAATTATGACTGAATAGCCTTTTTGATTTTTTTTGGTACATTAACAGACATTAGCATCTTTGACGCCAATACTCTGTAAACGGATTCACCATTCAAATTGTCTGTCTAATCCTCCTACAACTACTATACTACACAAAGCTGTATTTCTGTTCTACTGGTTACTAAAAAAATTCTACTAGGCTTCCTTAATGATAAACATTTATTTATTCAATTATTTGTTTGTCCTTTTCTTCTTTCAGTTCTTTCAGGAAGGAAAAATTTAGTCTGTTTATCTTTATCATTTGTTTGACAAATATTTGCTTTGAACCTGTTATACACTTCAATTTCATAAATCAGAAAGCCATGTTCGTTTTGCTTTTTTCTTCATGACGGTCAACAGATGCCTGATTCTCTGTGTATGAAATTAGTTAGCAAATAAAAGTTTTGAAAAAACAATTGTGAATTTTATGAAAGACAATTTCAGCAGCTATGAACATCTGACTATAACTGTCGGCAATGAATGACCAGTAGCAATCATAAAAGATAAGAAAGGTTACAATTGCAGTCGAAAGTTTACTAATGGCCTCCTTTGTCCAAACATGCAAAAAAAACTTTTAGCAAAAACTTATTTGACCTTTTCAAATTGATAGTTGTATTTCTGAAACGAAAAAAAAAAATACTTTTTCAACGTTCCAACACTCTCATCACGTTCCAATTTTTCCCCCTCTTTTCTTGCCATACATGTTTTTGCCAGTTATAATACACTAATCAAATGTTCAGCTGCCCTGCAAGCTTTCGTTTGCCTGCTTTGCAACTGCAGCAAGTTTCTACGTTCAATGACCAACACTTTTCTACTCAGTTATCATTTTTTTTTTCGTGAAACCTCTTTTCCTGCTACACAACGACGACTTTGATAGCTCAACTTTATACAACTATGGTTACCTTCAGTTCCTTGCAAAAATACAAACTCCAACTTTAAAATGACAATTGGAAACACAAAAATGCACCTTACAAATTAGTCCCGAACTCTCCCCTATCCTACGCCTCAACATTAGAAAAAACAAATAATCCAATGCAACAAACCATAAAAATAATTCAAGAAGCACTTCACTATCAAAATTCAGAGATAGCAATTACATACGTTTCTTCTGAACCATTCAACCGCCAACTTCTACTAGCGCGGAGCGCTGAGATGTACTCACAGCCCTAACATCGAGAATCCGATGAAGCGTACCTTCAAACCAAAAAGTCCAAAAAATGAAACCAATGTCATCAAAGTGCAAAGAAAACAGCTGCAGTGGCAGAAATGAAATTTGCGTCGGAGACTAAAACTACAACACGTCTGATTACAGATGGTAACTTCTATACGTATCAAAAGACAACCACAGTACTTTCTTGTAACTTGTAGTAATTGTTCAAAACTGTTCAATTTTTTTAGGAGTGTTATTGGCGGTCACTATGATAGGAGCCAATCAAGTATGTACAACAAAAGCATAAAGATAAGTGTAAAAGATAAGCATAAAGATAAGGCAAGAAGAAAACAGCAAAAATAAAGTTGAAGAGCCATACTGAAAAAAGTGACAAGTCAAGTAAGGACAATAAAAAACCATGCGAAAAAAAAAACAGTGGACGAACGTTTGGTGAATTAAAATATGAGTTTTACCTGAGAGTAAATTTTAAAGCCTACCTCCTATATAATCTTCTTTAAACTCTTTCGTTTATTCAAAATTGAAAGCCTGCTTCGAAATCTTGTTAAAGTCGCATGGCGTTCATGCGACTTCAACAAGATTT